ATACCATTTAATTCTATTCTATTCCACCCAATAGCCAGAGTCCTCTGGACAGTTTACAACCATTTCTCAATTTACAATAAAAGAGATACAGTAAAAACACACATGCCATAAAACACTGCATAAAATCCCAGTACAGAAGTTCCAAAGAGTTTAACATTCCTAAATACACAATTCGAAATAGTTTCAATGTCTAAAACAAGTTTGGTAAAACTGGAACACTGAGCCTGACGAAGCGCTGGAAAACTCAGAAGTTTTGTGGAATTGCGGCTGGACCTCTTATATGTATTACCCAGCTGGGTATTTTGGATTGTTTTCTTGATGGACCAGTATGGTTACCTTTGCCTCCACCCCACCATGCTTTCTCAGACTTTTAATTCATATAGTAGCAGTACTATTCCCTTTCAAAAGAGCAAATCACATGCTTTGAGACACTTATTTCCAGAGAGTCTAATCCAAAAACTCCCCTGCCAACCACTCAGGTGCTTTCCAGGTAGTGATCAGTCATTAACCAAGTCGCTTGTTTTCCTAAGGCCGTGTCCAGACCGTTCCTTGTCCAAACCCTTTACTTAGCGCCATTAGTCATACAGGATTCATGTTTCATTGCTCCCTTCATCTCCAGTTGTGTCTCAAAACACATTTCACACTGTACAGAGCCTTACAGTGTGGAAACGATGCATGGATAGAAGGTATGAAACTGGACTAGAACTTGTATAACTGTATACTATTCTAGCACTTTAGACCACACACTGGAAATGTTTCAGCTTAAAAAAACAAACAAACAGTATTCTCATTCCCAAGGAGTGCTTCATTTAAAATAACAACTGCATGAGGTGTCCGGGCAAATGTCATTACATAGTTTATTTCCCTGCCTCCTTGCCAGCTACTGCCACTTTTAGAAAAGGGTTGGAACTGCAAGAGCGATCACTCCAGCAAGAGTTATTTTCTACTTCTAACCAGAGTTCCTACTGACTTGGTTTGCGTGTCATGACAAGCAATCAGGTTTGGTTTTTTTATGACTGTGCACTTACTGTGCTGTCCAGACCCGGTCATGGAACATCAGCATGGCTTGCTTCAGGCCTGGAAACCACGTCGAGAAACAATGGCCTGTGGTATGGTTTCTGCTTATTACAAATGCCTGCCATCCAGGCCAGGAGCTCCACTTTTCTGTTCATAGTGAGAAAACACCACAAAGTCCCATGGAAAGAGTGGCAATGGACGTAGCCGCTCTAGGCATCCAGTCTCCACTTCCCGCAACTCCCTAGCAATGCACACATCTTCACCTGCTTTGTTTCTAATGGCTGAACACTGTGCCCATCAGACTGTTCACTTTCTGAACCAAGAGAAAACAAGTAAACGTGCAAAGGAGGAAGGTGGGAATCATAGCCAACGTGTTTATTGTAATATAGGGGAAAACAGGAAACATTATGGTTTGGGCTATGAGAGGTATAGAGATGATGATGATGATGATGATGATGTCGTCATCATGAAGGAGTTTTTACTTGCAAGAGTTGCTAGGATGAGTGGCCAGAGTGAGAGGATGGAGGTGCACGTAACACAATGGAACCAGCCAGTGTTTGTGATAGTTTGTTAGGGAAAAGTGGTAAGTCATGCAAAATTAAGGCAAACTCTCCCCTACCTGATAGGAAGCCCAAATCTACCCTATGTGGTGCACACACTCCAGAATCAACTAGCTGACCTTTTACCATTTGTGAGGAGTCAACCCATCTCCGGCTAGGGACAAAATCGCCAGCTAAGAAATTTGCTGTTTTCAAATGGTGGCGTAAATACTCTTTACTACAGATGTACAACTTATCATCATCATCATGCATTTATACCCCGTCCTATCGCTTCAGACTTGTTGTCTTCATACAGGTGACCAGCTGGTACAAGCGCATTAAAAAAATAAAAATAGAAGACCAATGGGATCAAGGAACACTGTATAGAGGAAAACACAGAACCTGCAGTCAGGGCTCACAGGAACTGTACTCTGATATTTCTGGAGAGCCCCAGATTAGGGAACACTGGCCTTCAGTATCCACAAAAGGGCTTTCCCTCTGGTCTCTTTCTGGACTTCTAGGACATGCCCCTCTTGTTGCATTTCCTTCTGCAGCACTCTTTTCTTTGTATTTTGCCTGCCATTGCAGCTATTCCTCGAATCTCTCATACCCATTTAAGTTGCCAGACTCCAGGATAATTAAAGCTGATGTTCAGCTACCAAGCAGAATATCTCACAGGACAAACTGCTTGGCCGCTTGGGGATCCTTAGCCAGTACCAATAAGGTCTCTGCACTGGGCCTCTGGGTCAGCATTGACTCCGTTAAGGTGCTGACAAAAAAGTTCTCCCCTCCTTTGTGCAAACTCTCAACCAAGGGCGGCCAACGGTGGGAGGTCTGTGGGTCATATTTGAACCAAACCCCCCAAATTGGACCCCACTTCCTCCTATGAAGAATGGTGCTTTGCTGCCTCAGTAGAGTGCTATCAGACACTAGAAGTGTTAAATTTAACTTGTGTGCAAGCTAAATTTAACCTCTGCAGCATCCTGCAGTGTCTACAGAGCACCAACACAGCCAAATTTAGTTTGCAAACAAGCAAAGTTCGACCCTTGCAGCCCTCCTTAGCAATACAGCCATCATTTCTAGTCTTTTAAAAACGTTCACCACTGCCAAAAGCAAGGCCCTTCCCCATTTCCATGGATTTATCTTCCCCTATAATATAACCATTTGATAAGTGCCTGGTGATCCAAGGATGTGGTGTATCAGATTTCCATTATGAAAGCTCTAAATGATTCATGGAAGTGAAAAAAGTGCAATGTTGGCGCTTGCATCTTCCATTTCCATTTAGATTAGCTGAAAGGACACCATGAGAAGCACAGAGGTGATAGTCAGCTTTGTAGAACACGCAAAGCCATTCTGCAAATAAGCTATGCAGTGCAGGTTGTTCTGTGAACAACCCACGAAGTGCCTGCCAGACCATCAGGCTCACCATGGTTTAGTCTCCTGCCCCTCCTCCTGGCTAGTACCCAGTGTCCTTTGTGGCTGAGCCCAACTTGTCTCCCTTGTCCAGCTCCAACTGCTACCTTTTTAAATTTGTGGCATTTTTTCAGACTCTGAAAAATGCACACTTGGTATTCCTTGTATGTGTGTGTAATAGCCCCAGAACGTTGTGTAATTGTGATCACCACCACCACCACCGTTATTATTATTAGTCATCATTTTCTGGTCTATTTCCCCCCTCCCTCCCTGTGTGTGTGTGCTATCAAAGCGAGATGCAAAGTAAAGTAGGTAACATACATCGGAATTGACAAGGCATGACAAAACATAGGCTAATTCATACACAGTTGTCTAGCTATCAATTGAAAAGCAGCTTTTCAACACTTCCCCAAGTCTCCAGACACCCCCTTTCATGGCTTCTTTTCAGAGAACTCACTGCAATTACCTGACAATGCTAAAAAAACAGCCACAAAAACAGATGAAAATTTTACGGCTAGGCCATAAATGGAGAGTAAACAGGCACAAATTCCCCCTCCATTATTTGAGCCATTAAATTTGCACATATTTCCCAGTCAAAATCAGAAAAGCTCCAGCAGGAGGGCAGAATAGGGTGGGGCGAGTGGAGTGCCTGCAGCTGGGGTGCTGCCCCTTCCCCACGGGGACCAGTTCACTCCATTCCACCCAGCCGTGTTCTCAGTGTTTTGGCTTTTTTGTGTTTTGGAATTGGCAGTAACTATAGCTGTAAGTCCTCCAAAAAGGAATTGTGACAACAGGGGAAGGAATTAATGTCTCCCCTTTCTGGACTAGCAAAGCCAGTGAAAAGGTGGGGGACACTGAGAATTCAATTCAATTTCAAGAGGATTACATGGCTAAGGGGGTGATATTCTCCTCCTTTTTTGGTGCACCTACTTTAGCTGCTTCTCCGCCTCTATGCTTGTTTTTCAGTTGACAGCTAAGCCATTGGTCCTTGGCAACTGTGTGGCAATTTGGGTATACAAGGTCTTACTCTGTCAATCTCTTATCTGCTTCACTTTGAAACTCCCTTTGACAGCTAAAATAGACACGGTAATTGACCAGGAAAGACCATACGTTTTAGAGAGGGGCAAGTGTGCTCCTTCCTACTTGCAAGAGACTCTCCTCCACCCCCAAATTATGAACACAATTGCTCAGTTTTCTGGGCCTGAAAAAATAATTTCTAAAAGGGTGAAAACCAATGATGGTTGCTCCAAAGTGCTTTGGGGGCACTTGTGGAGGGGATATCACCGCCAGCACAAAGAGGGACAGGAGCTGCTCCCGAGCTGCTCACTGCAAGCTGTGACGGAACTGCTCTGCCAGATTCAGGCAACACAGTAACGCATCATGGGTAGAACATCCCCTAGAGCAAACCATGGATTGTCAGGGTGGTTCTGCCAAAGAATAAGCCTCCCTGCAGGAAGCAGTCTGGATCTGGACATCATGGCAGCCCACTGGAGCTAGTTACCCATGACGGGCAGTTGTGTCATTTGAGTCCATTCACTCAAATCCCATCTTTTCTTTGCAGCTACGCCATCAGAAATATAAACAGAACCTTAAGCTATTTTTTGTTTGTTTTGTTTAGTTGCAAAGTCATGTCTGGCCCAGCACGACCCCACAGACAACATTCCTCCAGGCTCTCCTGTCCTCCATCCCTCAGAGGCCACCCAAGCCCACACCACCACCCCCGTGACTCCATCCAGCCACCTTATCCTCTGCCATCCCCTTTTCCTTTTGCCATCAATGGTACCCAGCATCAGGGTCTTCTCCAGTAAGTCCTTCCTTCTTATTAGGTGGTCAAAGTATTTGAGTTTCTTAAGCTAAATTACTCACATGAATAATTAACAGTTTTTAACAACAAACATGGATTTACTGTGCAATGTTCTAGAAAAAAATATCACATAAGTAGAAGCCTGCAGTTTTGCCAGATTTAATGGATTTATGGGGAAGAGCCTTGATAATCCACTATCTAATAGTAAAGCTCATTTTTACATTGTTTGGCATTCCATTCCTATCTCTTTATTAAAATCTTATTTACACAGCTCTGTTTTTGTGTTAAGTATCTGTTGTCAGCCTAATAATACAATCTGCAAATCACTGAATCTGGTTGTTGTTGGTTTTTAAAACTATTTGCTAGTAAGGAATGAACCACATAGTTCACGACCGATTAGACTCATTGGAATATTTCCAAACAAACATGTTTAGGCTCCAACTAAGTGAAGTTCCATTGACTGAGTGGAGCCTACTTCTGTGTAAGGGTGTTGAGGATTGAGGCTGCCTGTCCATTGAATCACATGATGAGCATTTCAAGCATTGCCATCACACCATTACAGTGATGTATTTTTATATGCCTTCTATGGATCAGGTTGTAAAACAGAAAGGTCTGAAGGTTTTAAGCCCATGTTTCCAGACCACCTGTGCTTCATACATCACCCTGGTTTTCCCTGAGCTGATGTCCTTCCTATGTGTCACACTGGAAGTCCCACCATTCCAACTGACATACAGACATACGATTATCAATTTAGTTGCACTATTAATGCCTTTCAGCATTTTCATTATTCAGCTCTCAGTGCCCATTATATGCCAATCTATCAGCAACCCCATACCCACTTACCTGGCTGGAAGTCAGCGCCAAAGCACACAACAGGACTTAGTTCTTAGTAGACATGTATACTATTACACTGTCCATTACTTAGGCTGCCCGTACACACTTGTAATATGAGCCAGTGTACACCTACTCAGACATCAGTGTAATTTAATCCCTAGAAGTATGGTTTAAGATTTCAGTCTCTTTTGAGAGAACTCCCCATTGAACACAGTGGCCCTTTCATGCCACTAAACTTGCCCAGAAACAGGCCATAAAATGCCTATTAAGGCACAATCTGCAAATTCAGACAGACAAAAGGCCTGTGATTTCCAGCATGTCCCAGCCAAGTACCCAAACGATCCTCAGCTACAGGTGTAAACTGAAAACTGTGTAACGCCCAACAGAGTTTAAGCCAGCCTTCCCCGAAGAGGTGCCTACAAACTACTCTTAAGTCTCATCACCCACATCCTCTGACCATGCAGTCCAGGGCTGATGGGAGTAGTAATCCAAAACTGCTGGAGAGCACCAGGTTGGGACTGGCTGGTTTAAGACAATAATGAGCACAATTGTCTGCATGTCTATTCAGAAGAAAGTGCCATTGGATTCAGTGTGGCTTATGCCCAGGTTAGCAGGTATAGGATTGTGGCCTAAGCTTGCATCCCCCTCCCACACTTGACCCTAAGGGTGTGATTAAGTGTAGACATTGTGACTGAAACATCAAGGTGGTTTTTCTCTTCCCCACCAGCCTCTGCTTCACTTACTCTCCAGCAGGGTAAAAGAGAACTTTGGAGAACCGGAAACTCTGCAAATTATTCTGCAATGTGTTGCTAAGTCCTCATACAGAAGTTTGACCATGGATTCTGGCTTCATGAAACAGTAATTGCAAGTGTTATTTAAGGCATAATCCTATGCCTATTTAGACAGGGGGAAAGTCCTACTTTTTACTGTCTAAACCTATATAGAATGCATGCTCTAGTGTATATTAACTTGTAGTTAAACCTTTATTTTGTATTGCAAACATCCCTTGAATGAACTATTGAAGTGACACCAAAGCAGGATTCATTATGTCTCAATTTGTTTTCTCCTAGGAACTTCCAATGCACTTTGGAAAGAGAAGGCACCGTCTACTCAGAATTAAAACACAGAGTGAAAGGGAACGGAGCACAAGCCAAGCAGCAGAACTTAAATGTGCTTCGCTTTGGCTTTCTTGTTCATCTCCATACGAGATTTTCCCCAATAACTGGGGGCGGGGGGGCTGAGAATGGATGGAACAAATGCAGTCAAACCCCTCACTGAGGGAATTCTGAAGCTGACTTTGCAGGAAACCAGTTAGATGCGGAGAGTAAAATAGAAGACTGGAATAATGCTATCTTTGTGCAAGAGCTCAGGTGGCTGTATGCACACTTACCTGGAGGTAAGCCCTGTTGAAGGCAAAGGATGTTATTTCGGAATAGGTATGAATACGATCGCACAGTTCAGTTTTCAGCACCAGGGCAGGTTTCTGGAAGAGATGCAACAGTAATTTACATGTTTACCTCTGCACTTCTGCAGAATGCCTTTCCTACAACACTGCAACTGCTCATCCAGCAATAAAAGCAGGACTTGCTATGGAATAATGACATGATGTTCACACAGGTTTGAGTTGCATCACTGTCCCCACTTTCTTTAGAAAGGAAATGGTGTGAACCTCTAAACTAGCTACATAACCGTTGCTGCGGGAAGACAAAATTACCAGTGGAGGCTGCGATTACTTCCTACTGCTACACTGGAATGTTATAAGGGCTTGGTGAATATCCTCAGTTAAGCTGATGACACATTAACAGCTAGGCTAGGGACACTGGGAAGATGTTTTCTTCAGTGGGAGCTACTGCTTCCAACTCAGGAGAAGTTTGCTCTTTTTCTGACTGGGCAATTGACCTGCAACTGGTGCTTTGCATTCAAGTATGAGACAAGAACTCAGCTGGCATTCTTCAATTTAGAGAGCGGCAATGAGAACGGCAAGTTTAACTGGACTAGCAGGAGTTAGTTTATTTGTTTAATTTACTTATTATATGTAGATCCCACCCCTTTTCTTTTCAAGGAATTCAAGGTGGATTACAAGGTGGATGCACACTGCTGCTCGCTAAGAAACTGCATTGGTATTGTGATCAACTGCAGAACCCTCCAGACGGACAGCTCCTAGAGTTAGCAAACAAAACTTAACTGTGCATTTAATCCATATTTTCTTCCAGCATGCAGGGCAGAGCAACTGCGTGATAGAAAGCCTCATCTGGAAGCATGCCTATTTGCAGCCACAATGCTGTGCATTTATTTCCAGTGTAAAGCAGATTTTACAAAGACATCTGAAGTTTCCAGGAAAGGAAACTAAGGCTGCATGCTTTACATAATTGCCTAGGTGTAAGTCCCACTGAACTCAGAGTGGCTTATTTTTGGATAGACATGTATTGGAGTGCATTGTCAATGTGGTAGCATTATCCACAGTCTTTTTACCTCTTGGGGTAGTGGGGTATATATTACAATATCAACAGTTACACTAAGGGTACAACCCTATGCTGCTTAGTCCTCCAACTCCCAGAATTCTTCAGCCATCCCTGTCTAAGCACGTCTAGGAAAACACGGTTCTAGTCCCCACTCAGCCATGGAGCTCACTAGGGGCCGACTCTCAGCCCAACCTACTTCACAAGGTCGTTGTTGTGAGGATAAAACAGAGAATGAGAGAATCTTGTAAACTGCCCTGGGTCCCTTGCAAAAGGAAGGAAGGCAGGATATAACTGCAATGTAATAATAATAATAATAATAATAATAATAATTAGAATACCCAGCATAAACATCTACAAAATAGCACTTTCAGAGTGGATATAAAGTATTAAGTGGGTATACAAAGTATTAAGTTTCACCGTCCCTTTGCACGTGATATATTAAATAAAAAACACTTAAGGTGCAATCCTGTGCAAGTTTAGACAGAAAAACAGCCCCTAACTCCCAGAAAAAGGTTGCATAGGACTTTGTCCTTAGTAATTCAATGGGCACAAACGGCAAAGATTCCTTTTACTCAGTAAAGACTGCATAAAAGCAGCACTTCATAGCGTGCCTATCATGCCCATTTGCATCCTGCTTATTATATTTAACTTCTATATGGCAAGTCTGAAAAGTAGCAGCGGCGGTACCATTGCAATCCAACTTTTACGCCGTGAGGAAAAAAAATCTAAGCCCCCCAGCTGCCCGTGTGCAAGCGCAGAAGGCAGGGACGGGGCTGCCGGCGTTGTCCGGGGGAAGAACGCCGGTCGAGTGTCCGGAGGCGATGCGCTCCGGCCCAGGGAGCCGCCGGCATCTCCCTCTCCGAGCGCCCGCGCCCTCCGCGCAGCCCCCAGCCCCGGCGGGAGCCCCGCGCCTCACCTGCCGGGAGCCGGTTCCCGGGCCGGGCAGCCACAGCTCGTCCGCGCCGCCTTCGGGACCCGCTCGGGCTGCCGCCGCGCTCCTGCGCCAGAGGTGGCGATCTGCCCGCGCCCGCGCCCGCCCGCGCGCGCCCGCGCGCCCGCCCCACCGCCCTTGCCCGGCCGG